AGTTAACTTGACTGCCGATTTCAGCTTTCCTTCCAAAGAGATTTCTCTTCATTTGAGAGACTTGAAGAGCAAGAATCAGATTGTCTTGTGTGATTATTCAAGGATGTTGTACATTACAAAATTGTGCTAGCGTATATTCCTTCACCTGTCAGAATGTGTTGTCATTGACTAGAGCCATCTTTTTATTCATCTATCATCTTTTGCCACTAGACCTTTTCCTGCACTCTTTTGTTCTGCTTTTTGACCACTAGTCCTGCTACTGCAAATCTTGCTCTAATTTTTTATTAAATATGACTTGAACTGTTTCTTTTAAGAGGATTCATATGCAGTTTTGACACAACTTTATCAGTACGAAACAAATTACAACCAATTCTTCTGTAAATTTCAAAACCAGCAGTAATGCTGCCAATAAAGTTTATTCTGTTTTGTTTTTTTTGTCTTTGTAATGTTTGTTTGTTTGTTTTTGCGGTCGTGTCAAACCTGTGTACAAGAAGATTGAAGAGATATTGGTTTTGTGTCAATAAATTCAGGTTTACTGTGTCCACCCACCCTTGTATGTCTTTTGAAGCATTAAAACTTTCCTGTATGCATGAAAATGTTAAGCTTTCTCTTCATGTTTCTTCCCACAGCCACATTTCTTTTTTTTTTATCAGCCGTATGATACATCCTCTCAGTGCTCCGATGAAAACAGGCCTGTCCTTCATTGTGAAATGGAGAGAGAGCGATGTTTGTTGTAACTCTCTACCAAAGCCCATGTTCTTTGTAGTATATTTATTGTATTATTTAAAAATAATAAATGTTAATTGATACCAGTAGTGTTCTTGATATCTGATAAATATATATCAGATATACATCTTTATATCTGATAACTGTTATCACTGTGCTATATTATGTAGAGATGCAGAAGAGGAGGCGCATGGACATGTGAAATGAAATTTTAAGTATATCACTGGTACAGCATCTGGAACAAAGCCTGAAAAGGCTTTTCTTAACATATGAGGCATATTTTACAAACCAAAAAGCGACTTACATTAAGCCGGAACGATCCTTGTATGATATTATTTTGGTGAGTATTCTGACACGAACAAACCTGATGATCATGTTCTGCAGCATTTGAGATGATCCAGTGAGGATCCTGTGCTTCAATGGAACAAGAACATCTGAGCGCCTGAACAAAGAAACACATTTACTTGATTAGTCACACAGAAATATTTCTTATTTTATATCTTAGTTTTACATTATAAAACAATCATCTTAAGAGTTTTGGACACCACCATTAAAGAACAAACCAAGGATGTAAAAACTGCAAACAAGAAAAAAATATATATAGAGAGTTCTGACAAACAGATCATGGAACAAGTCGTTGATTTTTTTTTATATATATATATAGCTGTGATACATCTAAATATAATAATTCAGGTTAATTGGGACCTTTTTCCAGTCATCTCAAATTTACAATTTAACTGAATTCACCATATCTTTAAACATTTTTTCAGAAATATTTTTGAAGTTTTAAAACTACACATCATAGACTCAAAGGGGTTAAAATGAGGTTGTGCAAATAAATTGTTAGCCGACAACCATCAAATCACATTTAGATTTTTTTTTAAGACCATATTTTTTCTTAAAACATGAAAATGTTAAACTCAAAGACTGGAAAACAAAAAGCTGGAATCTAGACAATGAAGCAGCTTAAAATGTATTTTTTTTTAATATCCTTTTTTTATTTATTTATTGTTATAATTGAACAAATGCAGAAAATAAGAATGAGCAAGTGTGTCCAAACATTTGACTGGTATTACAGCTTGTCCAACCAAAGTACAACATGTTGTAACTTCAGTATCCGGATGAAAAATGATTTATACCGTTTTTTCTTATTTGCCCAATATTAAATCTAAATCGAATCAAGATCTTTCTCTATAACTGAAGGTAGTATAGTGCACACAGACAGCGAGAGAGCGATGTTTGTTGTAACTCTCTACCAAAGCCCATGTTCCTTTGTAGTATATTTATTGTATTATTTAAAAATAATAAATGTTAATTGATACCAGTAGTGTTCTTGATATCTGATAAATATATATCTGATATCAGATATACATCTTTATATCTGATAACTGTTATCACTGTGATACATTATGTAGAGTTGCAGAAGAGGAGACGCATGGACATGTGAAATACTCAAGTGAAATTAATTTTTAAAGGGGTCATATGATGCGATTTCAATTTTTCCTTTCTCTTTGGAGTGTTACAAGCTCTTGTCGCTGAGGAAATACAACAACTTTGCGCTGTGGATCACCGGATCGGCTTTCACTGTGGACGAAGTGAAGTCCAGCCCGGGGTCGTCACATGGTTGCCGCAAGCCCGCCATACGCTCCTTCGTCGAATCCGCCGGCTGCGCCGTTCTCAAGCCCACCTGCCTCCACTGGTTATCTGGAACAAAGACTGAAAAACCTTTTCTTATCCTGTTAGATGCATATTTAAACAAACCTAAAGTGACTTACTTTAAGCTGGAATGATCCTTGTATGATATTATTTTGGGGAGTATT